CATTGAATTTTCAATTTTTATCAGTAAATTAAAGAATTTCCACAATTTTTATGGGTTTGTGTTCTCTACATAATTTTAGCACCCCCAATGTTTGGTCTTAAGTTGCGCCTATGCCCTACTGATTCGATTCGATTCGACGTTGTTCAAATCGTTATTAATTATACAATTTATAATATTAATCACAATTTTGTATAATATCACACGACAATTATAATGAGACTTACCTATAATATAATAATATGTTCAATGTAAATAATGTTTAATGTAATGAGTAATTTAATTATTGTCTATTGACGACGATCGATATTGGTCTCATCTGACGTCAATATCATTACGTAAACCCTCTGCTGCAGATATAGCTGCATACGAGTGTATCTTAACAATAATTTTATGTTATTCATTTATAATCATATAGTTTTCCGACTTTTCTGGGAACGTTTCCTGTGGACAGTCCGCACGCGCTTTATGAGATTATGGCGAATAATAATAATATTATTGTTATTACCTATATTATATTACGTCATGTTGGTATAATATATTATAGTGTCGCGTGTCCATAATACTATAATAATATAATAAATCAATATACAGGAGATTTTTCACGCACAACCGTGAAAATATTACTTATCACCCGACTTTCCAACAATATCATCGTCGTCGTCGTAATATGATTTTGCTGGAACGTATTATTTTTATTGCTCAAGCGCATGCGTATACGATACGATATTCTGTATAATTTATTAGACAAATGAGTAATGAGCCGACATAAATATATATCATGACGTGTGTGCGAGATAACGTCCTCGGACTTACCTCGCCCGATTTTACACGCCGATTTGTCGTTTCACACACGTAAAACGGAAACGTCAAGTTTCGCTCCGAACGAAAGCACAACCGATGCGTCGGCCATTTCTATACCAAACGCGAGTTATCGACCTAGGTACCTCTACTGGTCGGATTTCATAGATATTACCGACGAGCATAGGCGTGTCTACGGGTCTTGCCTGTCATGCACAGGCATGACCTGCGAAATTTGATCTAACTTACATTATAAATTGCGGTACATAATAATATACACTTTTTTTCTTAGATTCTGATTTCATATTAAATTTTTTGATTTTCATCATGTGGACTTTTAATATCTATTACAATTATTGATAATGCTTCCCTTGTGGAACCACTTCTAAAACACTTCATCAATGGATTGATTTTCTAAATTCAAATAATAGAACTTGTATTTTTCTTCACTTCTATAAAGTAATAGTACTTTTTACCACTATTCCGGTAACAACTTGTTCGTGCGAACGTGCATTTTCTAAGCTGACAATTGTAAAAACAAAACTCCGCAGCACCATGACTCAAGAAAGACTTGACGCTTTAATGTTTCTATTCATAGAACAACAGATGGCAACAAATATTAATTATGACGAAGTTATCGAGGAATTTAAAGTGATGATACCAACAAAACGACGTTTAGAATTATAATATATATTAAGTATTAAGACCATTTGTGATTATAAAAATATTTGTAAAAAGTATTAGGTACACATCAATTATATTTTAAAATACAATTTTAAATTGCCTTGTTATTTTATTTATCTAATAAAAGGAATATTGTTTTTTATTCTGGAGTATTAGATAATAATTAATAATGATAAAGCTTATTAAGAAATTTGGAGGTCTTATCCTTAAACCGAAACCAAATTTTTTTTAGGGGGTGGGGGATGCAGAAACCTACTTCCCCTGAATATGCCACTACTGTGCATGACCTGCGAACAAGGTCTGGACACGCCTATGCCGACGAGCAGTCAATAGAAGGTATATGGTTTGGACTTTCAGCGTACTCGAAGGATGCAGTGACGTGCAATTTTCATGAAAATGGACTCGGGGGTCACGGACCCGAGGAAAAAGCTATACCGTTATTGACCTCCCGGCCACAGGTGGTTTTTTTTTGTTTTACCCAACACTGCTAACAGTATAAAAATATATTATATTATTATTAAAAACTTTATCGTATTAAATCAACTGCATTGCTCGGTACCCTCTCAGGTGCCCAACAAACCGTTTTTATTGACTTCGCCACTGCTGGACTTTGACAAGGACGTTTTCCCCGACGTTTCTGCCAACGTTTCTATAAAACGGACTTGGTGAAATCTAAAACGTGATATTTTTTAATGATCCGATTGATATATTGTTTTTACGAAGCAGAACGTCCACCACGTAATGTATGAAACAGCAACATATAAATCTAAACGTTTATTCGACCATAATATAATATATTATATACCTACCTTATATGAACACTTCAGTCCCACGGTCTTAATCGTATAATATTCGTTGTTTCCCAAACAATATAATTTTATTTTATTTCAAAAATATATTATAATATTATTATGTCGGAACATAAAAGTTATAGTATTTATTGTTTTACGCCGCCGTCCCACTCGTACTCGGAAATAGGTGCAAGGCATTTTTTTCGTAGCGAATCATAATGTGATATATGTACGCACAGTACAATACTATAATCACGTGGCCTTCTGATTTCCGTTTATGTAATGTAATATAAATAATAATAGCCACTATTGTCATGTGCGACGTAAACGAATAATCGAAAAATGTCATCTTTGTTTTGTCATAATATTATTTTTTAAGGTTGAAAATCGCGTTTACGTTATAATAGTGTACCTATATATATATAGGTGCAACCTAACCTAACCTAACCTACTCTACCTACTCTAATTCATTATTTTAATAACTGTGAAGAGTCTTAAAAAATATTTTCAGTCAGTTCGATTCAAAAACAAATGACAATATTATATGATAATATTTGGTACTTACCTATATTAAGGGGCCTCGCAATGGCATTGATTTAAGGAGAATCATTTAGGCAATTTCTAATCTCGTCGTCGCCACCCGAGATCTATGTGTTAGTCGTAAATGATTATTAGTGTGTGTGGCGTCCACGCGGGTCAATTGTAGCTCTCGCACGCACTCGCACACACATGTCAATATATAATAATATTGTGATCATGAAAAAATGCTCATTTTTCACTTAAACATACGATTCTAATTCCAACAGTACGTCGTAACGATTACCTCAATTTTCATTCTGACAAAATATTCTTATTTTCCACAGCATGTACGAGGGATCGATCGAGGCACATTTTTAAAATTGTATTTAGTTAATTAAATATTTAAGTTGGAAATTCTGTATTTTTTTTTGAATTTTTTACAATTTTTATTGCAATTTAAATTACAAAAATTAAAAATGTGGCTCGATCGTTCCCTTGTATATATTACGGACAATCAGAATATCTTTTCAGAATGAAAATCGTGATAATTGTCGACACGTATCGTTGGAATTAGAAACAGTAGTTTTTGACAAAAAAAAAGACTTGGTAGTGAGGCCCCTTAAGTTATTACTCTATGTGCAATGATGATGATAATATTACATAATATACAGGAACATACGGTGGAAATCGAAATACTGACCTATAACCTTATACAGGGCTGCAGGGGCTTACATTTTTTTTTATTTAATGCAACCATGCAAGTTTGAACAATGAAATAATATGGTTTATTGTGTGGCAATGGCTGAAATCAGCCCCCGAGACAATTTAGTCTTGGTAGTCAAATTGCCTTCCCACCCGAGACACACCCACTGTCTTTCGTCCCGCCTTTGACACTCGACTCAATGAATGATTTTGATTTTTTTTTTCACTATAACTTATAACCAGGTTAAAATCACTGATTTAATTTAACGGGACCTATTAAATGTTCGAAATTTATACAGGTACCTACTCACATGTTGTTATGTATTTTATTTTTTGTTTGTACTATAATTGAAAAATAACTGTTCTCAGCCCCAATTCTTGGGCGTATATACTTATTAATAAATAAATAAAAAAATAACCCGTTAGTATGATTCAGCTTGCATATTTCAGTCTGATCGTGACAGCGCAGTGGGACCGCTGCGTAGTGTGTATTTTCACTTAACAATTTCCCGCCGGTCGGAAAAAGAAAGATTTACTGTCCGCTGGACGGAAAGAGTTCGACATTTTCGATAACTTCTGCAGCCTCGGGCATTGAAAATAAAACTTCCTGTGCAGTATTGTGACAATAAATAGTATACGGAGAGGACGGTAAGTGATTAATTTCAGTCACTGGCAAAGTTTTCCACTCGAGCCTCAGTCGAGGACAGCGATTCGCTCCCAAGACTGTTAGAGCATGGGAGTAACGTAACCTACCTGCCAGCTAGTGGCCCAGTTGCGTAAATAGATATTATGTAGAACTGGAGAGGTTGTATAAAAAATTTATATGTGTCTGTACCAAATGTTTTTTTTAAATTGACACATATTTTTATACATCTATATATATATTATGTGCAGTAATAATATACTAGGGGAAGGAGAAAGGGAGGTACGCCACTGATCCAGAACTATTACAATCTGGTTTGGACATCAATACCTTAGATTTCCACTTTACCACAAAAAAAAATTCACCGTCCGCTGGACGGAAAGATGTGATTTTCGATCACTTCTACCGCTGGCTATCAAACTTCCTGTGCAAGTCGGAAAAATAAATATTTTCGTGATCTTTGACACAGGGTTATAGGTATAGGATTCGGGAATAGATATTTTGTAGAATCGAAAAAAAAACCAACAAACGTCGAGTCAAATAATTAGCCTATGCACATTATAATACATCACTCGTTGTTTATTACAATAATTCGTTTGTGAACTATATGATATATACAATATATATATATATGTATAAATATAATAATAATAATATAATGATAATGATTATATTTTAACATACCCGCGGGGCGACTTTTTCCGACGACATTTTTAAGTCATTATATATAATAATATAGAGACTCTTCGTAGAAGATAGAGAGATTGTGAGAGAGAGAGAGGGAAAACAGGACGGAAAAATCACCGAAAAACTTATCACGTTATATAATAATGATAATAATAATATTAGAGACAAAATTCCGTCTACGACCGGTTGCACGTCAAGTCCAGAGGAGCGTTTTTCTCCGGCCGGCAACCGTCGGCCGATCCGTTCGAGTCGGACACCGCCGCCGAGTCACTTCCGGCCGCGCTGTCGTCGTCGTCGTCGTCCGAACCGGACGTCCGGTCAGCAGAGTCTACCAGTGGATGCCGTCTCCGCCTGCGCGGCCGCCGGCGCCTGCGTCGTGACCGGTCCTCCGGGCTGTGGCCGGGCGATCGTCCGCCGACGTAAGGTAGGAGCGACGGGGAACCGAGCGACGGTGGCCGGGACGGCGTGGACGCGGCCGCGGTCACCGACAGATCCATCGGAGATTCTTGGACCGGCGGCGGGTCGCGGTGGACGGCGACGCGCTTCGAAGGCGGCGGCCCGTCGTCGTCCTCGTCGCGGTCACCCGCACAGCTGTCGTCGTCCGCGGTCGACGACCGGTACGACGGACTTCGCGATGACCGGTGACCACGTGATGGCGGCGGCGGCGGCGGCGTCGGAGGCTGCTGCAGTTGCTGTTGCTGCAGCTGCTGTTGCTGTTGCTGCTGCTGCAGGGCCAGGAAGAACGGCGCGGGTGGCGGGAACGGGAAAGCCGAGAAGAACGGCGAGGGCCACCGCAGCAGTTCCGGTCGGACGGCCTGCACGACGGCCGCGGCAGCGGCGGCTGCGGACGCGGACAGCCGGCCACCTACGCCGTCTTTGTTCAGGTCACCGGCCACGGAGTTGTTGTTGTCCGCGTCCAAGCGCAGGTGGTGTTTGACGTCGGCCCAAAGCGGTGGCGTACGGCCGTGGTCCAGTGACAGCCTGCAACCCGCCGCCGACTGTTGCTGAAAATGCTGCAGGCCCGAGGACTGACGGTGTTGTTGTTGGTGATGCGGGAGCGGTTGCTGCTGCTGGTGGGGCGGGAGTTGCTGGTGGTGGTTGCTGTTGTTGTTGTTGTTGTTGTTGTTGTTGTGCTGGTGATGGTGCTGCTGCTGCTGTTCCTGGAGCAGGCAGTGGATCTTGAACCAGTTGGACCGCCGGCCGTACCGGGACCCGCTCTTGGACATGCCCACCACCAGACACTTGCGCAGCCGGCACGCCTTGCACGACGTCCTGTTCTTCTTGTTGATCACGCATTCGCCGTTGTTCTTGCACTCCGAAATCGAGCTCAGGTTGTTGTAGGTCCGACCGAAAAACGACTGAAACAGTAAACGTAATAATCCATATAATATTACCGGTATACAAAAATTGGTTGTTGGCATGTCTGTAGTAAATAGACAAAAAAAATTTGGAAAACATATAAATATTCAGACGAAGAACAACGATTTCAGTTATTTTTCTGAAATTCAAAAATAATATTCATAGGGATTTGAAACTGTTGCATAAGTATATTATTATATTTTATATTATACACATAATGTATTATTAAATTTTAAAAATGTTTAAATTAGTCTTATACTATTGCCTATTAACATATACCATGAACCTATCCGTACACCGTACCGTTAACGGTAGTCGGTATCGACTCAAAAGTTAACACCTAGGTAACAATAATAATATAATATCCATATTTTCCATCTTCGGCTTCCTTATTCTTAATACACTTTTAAGTAGTTTTGGTCTAAATAGAAACCAAAAAACTACTTTTACTTTACTAAGACCGTCTCCGATAAAAGTAATACAGCAAAACCTCCCATGATGCACACCTCCCATTTGCGGACGTTTCCTTGGGAACGAACTACAAGCTTTCAACAATCCGACCCATCTGAATAGCGAACACCTTCGAAAATAACGGACAAGATTTCATGCGACCGATAGTGTCCGGTATTCAGAGGTTTCTCCATATTATATTACGCGCCTATTATCGAGGTTGACAAAATTAATCGCAATATCTTTGCAACTGTAGGTGCACTCGAACAGGTGGTCTTAAAAATTATTTCGAGTTAATGAAACTATAATTAATATTACACACATAAACACTCGGTCTTTCTGACATTTTTTTTTCGAATAAATAACGACACTTAACCAAACGCAATTATTATTTTTATTACCTATATTGCCTGAACACATTTGCATTACTATTATCGGACGAATTCGCTAAGTCTATTACAATATACCTCCAAAGCTCGTGATTTATGTGCGGCTATATAATATTAATATAACGCATAATGTTATATTATGGTATATACCACTGAACGGTGTGGTATATAATAAATAATAATATATAGTACGCTTGTATATGCCTACAACACAATACATTGTCAGCACTCAGCACGCTTATAACTTTTAAATCGTATTATATAAGACGTAATCGGTCTCGATGACCACGATGGCGATGATGATGACGATTGGTTCGTTCCCACCGACAGAGATGGAAACCTTCTTCTCATATGCGTGCGTTGTGCATGCAGTTATATTGCACGTTTAACGTCGCAGTCTATCTCGAAATGATATAAATTATAAATCCTTTTCCGCCGACGACGTCATCATGGGAAACTTTTATCATTTTTATAGAGAAACGACGACGACGGCGACGACGACCGGACAGAACGATCATTAATCATGTTACCTATAATTTTCAACGTCCCCCGTGATCTTTGCGAAGGTCTGCCCCGTACCCACCAGCTATATATCTGCCTGGCGTCGACCATGACAAATTAAATGCCCGTGGATTTAATGGCCCTTCTTAAACTCCGTTAAATGTTAAATGCACAGCAGTTTTTTTTAACACGGTCGTTTTTTTATGTTGTTTTTACCAAACACAAATATTACTGCAGGTCTAAAATGATATCCGATCGTGATGAGTTAATACTAATAATTATATTATTTTCTGTAACCAACGGGGCAAAGATATATCTAATATTATATAAAAAGCGGGTAAGTGGATGTCGGTCTTCTGTACAGTACATGTGGGTCAATGGATTGTATTAAACTTGAATTCAATGATAGAATATCGTTGTACAAGAAAAACGATTCTGAGCGGAGACGGTTTGTCAGTCTGGATATTTTGTATTTTTTTTTTTTTTATTAATTAACCCGCTGCCTGCACTTGGGTCATTGGGTGGACTTTAGCTGTGGTGGAGGGTACTGTAGCGGTTTCAACAAGTGTGTTTGTTAATTTGGCAGATTTTTTAATGGGACACATCTCTCCGGACACCGTGACTTGCCCAAAGAAAAATGCCGCCCGCAGCCGAGGTTTTGAACCGGCGTCTGTGCGCGTCGCAACCGACGGCTTAGTCCTCTCGGCCACTCCGTCCCCCATATTTTATATTGTTATTATTTATTATATCCTGTGAGTTGAATTAATATTATAATATTATTAATTTTTATTCGTTTCTATTGTGATAAACAAAGCGTTAGAAATTAAAATCCCATATTTAGGGGTTTTTCCTAATTTGTCAGTGAGTTTTCCCTTGGCATTAAATAACTATTGAGAAAATCGAAAAATCACATGTCTATAGTACCATCTTGATCCAATTATCTAAAAGATAAGATACACTATATGTTGAAATCGAAGAACTTTTTCTGGTAGAAATTTTGTATACTGCAGGATAAAAAAAAATAAATAAACACCATTGTAAAACCACTATGTAGCTTTCTCGCTCCGCTCAGAATCTAAAATCTCGTGCCACAATATGAAAAATGTATGTCACCGAACTCCTCCGAAACGGCTTGACCGATTTTCATGAAATTTCGTGTGTTTATTCAGTGAGTCTGAGAGTTAGTATTGTGTTGGGCCGAAAATATCAAATTTGAAGACCACTGAGTACATTTCGAATATGATAATAATATGTAATATTGTACCGACACCGATTTCAAAGTCGATCGCTTATTGAAAAGTAGTTATCTGCTGTTCACTGTTCAGTCGCAATATAAATGCAAGGAGACTTCTCTAGAGTATATTATTATAATGGGATTCGATGGAAGCGCTTTGGCCGGCGATATATGACTTTGAAATATTCCAAGGACATTATAATAATACATAGGTGTACGATTTTTGTTCTTCCAAATTAACAGGTGGGTTGGCGGGGGAAGGCGTTTGAAATGTAAATTATATAACCGCGACCGCGGTGTGGCACGACAATCGTAATTTTTGAAGATGCGCGTTTAAATATAAATGCCGATTTCCCCGGTAATAATACATTAGTACCTAACTAAATATTACTGTGGTAAATAAGTAGGTAGGTACCTTCCTAAAATCGAACTAACACGCCGCCGGACCGATAAGTTTCTCGTATTATTAGAAATTGATTAATGTAATCCACATCGAAGGATAGTTCAATCGACTACAACCTATAATACGCCTACTCAATCCAGCACACTCTTATTAGACGAATAGTGTTATACTATACAACGACAAAACACTAAGTGACAAACCAGATAATAAATGTATTTATTGAAATCCTCTCGGCGGGTCTTGATACAGTTGCCCTTAGCTAAACAACGTACCAGTTACCCTCAACCGTATATGTACCAATTTAGCACTAGCTGGTTCAAAGATGGGAATATTACCAACATGGGCACGAACATATTATGTTTTGACATATTATATTACAGAGTACTTTATAGTCACTAATTGTTATTATTATTACTATAATTACTATTATTATTATTATTTACTCTATATACGTAAAAATGTATGTATGTCTGTCTGTCTGTACGTCTATAGTTGATAATATGCTCAAAAACTACTGACAGTTTTCTATAAAAGTTGAACAAAAAACTCTGAGGGAGTTTAAACTTTTATGGATTATTATTTCAACCCCTATAGATAGCTAAAAGGTAGCTCACACGTTTAGTTTTCAGCTCACGAAAAAGAATATCGTTTATTTAAATGTTTGCCAAGTATTAGTACAACGCGATCACCCGATATCCAAGGAAAACATATAAATATATAAGGGTACGAAAACTTAATGATAAACCCGTCTTATCTGGCCCGTGGATAAAGTACAACTATTCGATGGGCCAGACGATGGTAAAATATAATTTACTATTATACATTATATGTACAAGGTGTAACTGAAAGGCCCGGCGAGAAAAAAAAATGATAATGATATACTTAAACGTATGGCAAAAATTGTTAAAATTGTATGATTAGTAAATAATTAAAAAATATAGGTACACGTGTCAGCAAATTCCCAAAAAAAAAAATGTTTAAAAGTTATTGTGTTCCAAATTAAAATGTATTTAATCAAAAAAATATTTATATTTAAAAAAAAATTCTAAAAAATAAAGTACTTGACTTAGGTAAATGTTTTTACTATCAACATTTTTCTTATAATCAGATTCAATATATCCATGATGAATATATCCAAATAAATTTAAATCAAATTTTCAGTGTTAAAATATAAAAATAATTTTTTCTATAATATATGTGTAGCGCAACTGCGCCAGTGACTGTAAATTATATATAAAAAAAAAAAATTTTAATATTGATTGGAACAAAACTTACTAGAAAAGTCAGTTATATCTGTTACACCCTGTATATTATATTTCATTGTGGTAGGATATAATATATTATATAGGTGCCTATCCGGCTATCACTATAAATTTATAATATTGTAGTTGAGCAACTATAGATCGTGTAAAAGTGTCTTTTGAAGATTCCTCGGACGCATCGAAGCAATATTATATTATTATTGCTCATTCGGACTTCGGCAGAGAGAGAGAGAGAGAGAAAACCATAAATTAGAGACGTTGTCGAACGGGTGAGTCTCAGATTATTATTCCTATTATTATCTACGATCGTTAAACATTTCGCGCCGTGCCTCGTTCGTCTATACGCACGTTATTAATTGTTCGCGGATATTGTGCAATATTATTGTATTCCCTACGAGTAATATAATAATAATAATATTATTATTAACGTCAAACATCGGATAGGCTCGTGACGTTCGATCGCTTCGCTGGGTCTAGGTATAATAATGTGTGTGTGTGCGTGTGATGAATGCGCTTTTTCCTCTGGTTCTTCGATTTCGAATTAAAAAAAAAAAACAAAACAAAACAACCGTGAACGACGACGCATCGCCGTGTCGTTTTTAATAGTTTGCCGTGACGGATATCATCATAATTTATAATATATCTAACGTAACATTATAGGCTGCAGGTTTTGCTGAGGTGCGCACACTGCACGAGTACACGGCAAAAGCATTCGTCGATGGATATGATTATTATTATTATTATTATTATTATGAGTGCCATATGACGACGATGGGGTTCGTATTAATTCTATAACGGTCCCATAATATTGTCATAGTGTGTCGGAGCGTTATATTTTGCAGCGGACGATTCGCGTTCGGTTCGAAATTTTCTTTTTAATTAAACGGTCGGTACGCAATTTTTTTACGACTCGACGTTTTGTCATACGTGCCACACGGAGCCACAGCGAAGTTATAATAATATATTATACAGGTATACCGCGCGTGCGGTTATTACCTATTATAATATGTCTGCATGACATATTATCGTATGACCAACGGTTTTTTTTCTGCAGCAGCGACCGCGGTGATGTCGCTGCGGTCCGTCGTGATGGATAATATTTATTGCTAAGTTTTATTTTATATTTTTACAGCTCAACGGCTCGAACAAGAAATGGGAGGAACCTTAGTCGTAAACGCCTGCGCTTTATCTAAAAATAGAACAAGGGTACAGGAGTTTTTTCTGTAATTTCAAGCACCAAAACTGGAGTCTGCAGAACCGAACAAATATTAAAGGATTGAAAACTAAACCGGAACCGGAATCGAAATAAATCAAATATAACTATAAAGATTGGAATAAACTTAGAATTATAAATTTTAATTTTCGAATTGCAATTAACGATTTTAAAATTCGAATTTTTCTATGTAATTCGAACTCTGTCAGTAGTTTTTGAGCATATTATCAACTATAGACGTACAGACAGACAGACATACATACATTTTTACGTATATAGAGTAAATAATAATAATAATAGTAATTATAGTAATAATAATAACAATTAGTGACTATAAAGTACTCTGTAATATAATATGTCAAAACATAATATGTTCGTGCCCATGTTAGTAATATTCCCATCTTTGAACCAGCTAGTGCTAAATTGGTACATATACGGTTGAGGGTAACTTGGTGATTTTATAAGTAAAATATGAGTACAGCCGGTATACCGGGTGATTCATCTTATATAACTATTTAAGTCTTTCATTATTTGAAAAACTAATTTTTTAAAATATTTTCTTACATAATTTCATGTCGTTAACAAAAAGTTTTGTATCATAATCATTTATTAAATTAAAACTCTACGATAGCATGCATTTTTAATTCCTTATTTTAGAGCAAAAGATTTTTCAGTAGTTAGGTTTGATTAAAAATCAAATTTAGGACGAGTAGTTTTTGAGTTAGAATTATTTAAAGTTTAGATGAGCGGAGTTGTGGGACAACATTTGGCGAGGTCTCCGCGTACCACTCCATTTCGCTCATTAAAACTTTAAAATACTTATAAGTTATAACTCATAAACTTCTCGTCCTAAATTGTATCGAGATACTTAATACTTACTATGTTGTTTTAGGATAGGTTAGATTATATTAGGTTTCATGAGGTTAGGTGAGGTTAGAAACCTTGGTTACTAACCTAAGCTAAACAACATAGATTTTTAATTAATAAGATAAAGTTAGGTTAGAAACCTAGGCAACTAACCTAATCAAATCTAACTCCTGAATTCGACTTTTATGTATCGAAATACTCCGTCTAAATTTTCAAAGATGAAATTAAAACTGAATGTTGTAATTTAAAAAAAAAGTAGAAAACATAAAAATTAAAAGATTCGAAAATATTTAAAAATATAGTTTTTAATAGCAATGTTGTTTCGTAACGACTTGAAACCATGTAGAAAAAAATATTTTCAAAAGTATTATTACTTTTTGAATAATGAGTGTCCAACAAATCATAGTGGATATATAATATTATATATTACATAATATTATGTTAGATGAAATGAACCACCAATCACTCGATATAAATAGGTTATGTCCTGTGCAATAAAAAACTATAACGGCTTTGGTCACTTTGGATCGAAAACATCAGTCCGTGTGTCTATGTCGCACGTCATATTATGATATTCTATTATATAATATTATTGTATCATTATAAACCTAACAGTTTTACAGACTAAAACTCAAATTTGGTGGCGGAGGGTTACCTATACCTATATATAAAGTGCGGTCGCTGTCGTCGTCGGTGTGATTCGCTTGACTCACGCAAAACTGAGTATTTCCATCGGAAATTCGGATATACTAATAGGTAATGTAACGCATTAACGCCGTTAATAATAACGTGTAACCCACCTAATATCGCTCGTGTAATTACACGGATTTGGTCATCGGGATAATGGATTTTTATTTCCAGCCCGATTGATTCACGCACGATATTATATTAAATTATATTAATATCGCACCGAACGGCGACCGCGGCAACGTCGGTTATCACAGCAACCTGTTGTACCCGTGTACACTGTATATTATGTTATAAACGCAGGTAATAAGTTAATTAAACTTTGGCGAATGCATAAGTACTACAACAGTGCAGCTGTATGCCCGTCGAACAAAACGACCGATTAACACTACACGATCGTCCGAGACGAACGATATCGAATAATATTGATCGTGCAGGGTTACTTATAATATGTAATAATATCTTCACGTAAAAATATTTTTCATAATGGCGCACGGTCGATTTAGAGTCTATGGTTCATAATAATAATAATAATAATAATAATAATATTGTATAGGTATTATAATATCCATCTATAATAATTCGCATACATCATGACTACCCGACACAGCGGTCTTTTTATTTCTTATTAAATATGATTAATTATTATTAAATTAGTATATTGAAAAATATGTATAAATCATAATTATTATCGTTGATGGACGAAATACGATGATAATATAATAACAATGTTACCTTGCATCCTTCACACGTAAACGCTCCGAAATGAAAACCGGCGGCTGGTTCTCCGCACACACGACATAGTTGACTCATCTGCAAACAAAATGATAATAATGTTAAAATAAATGGTATTGTAAAAAACATGTGTGTAGGCACATCAGACGAAGGGACTGGAACCGAACCTAAAAGAACCGGTTCTGGAACCGGAACCTTTAAAATATTAAACCTTTATTTCAATATATAAAGTATCGGAACCGAACAGGACTTTTTAAATTAAAAATGTACTTTTAGGTTCAAAAATAAAATTATTTTATCTATCATAATTTAAAGGTATCACTATTTTGTGTATAATCTATATTGTATGATCATATTATGAGTTTCTAATAGTTTTCTAATAGTTTCTAATATTTCTCATACCATTAATCGAACTCTCAATCCGGATAGGTATTTAAAATTATTATACTTTTCAGTATCGAAATTATATGGAACCGGTACCTTAATTTTTTTCATCAAAGAACCAGAACCGATACCGATAAATTCAAAAGGTTCCAGATCCGATGACGATATTAAATTAAAATCGATACACATTGTTATTACTGTGGTATAGAAGTAGGTAAATACATCGCATTCTCTTGTATACGATAAGTATACTTGTTAAATAATATATGATAAACATTACCTATATATATTACTTAAATATTATAATAAACTATAAGCAACGTTCGGTTCAGTCTAACTGAAAGGAGAACATTTATTGATTTGAAGGAAATAGTAAATGGTCTTAGTAAACTGGATAGTAAACTGTCCTGATCTATCTACTCGGTTTCTTAAATTTTAATGTTCCTCAATGTAGTCTAACTAGGTCTATAAAAACGTTTTACATGCTAATGACGTCCAGGTTGATTTATTTGATTTTCATACTTTTGATGGTTTTTGTAATTACATAACCCATACATAGTTTATTATTATTATTAGGTATTATTATTGTTTTATTGTTTTAGTGATTATATTTTTTACTGTCATTCAGTCCACACAAATAGATTTAAGTCCTACTAATGTAATAACTAAAAAAAAAGTTGTCGTTGGGTTTCATCCCGTTTAAATTCATAGTAAATAAATAAATAATTATAATTACGATTATAATAATTTCCGCGTTCTGCGGCGGCGGCGGCGCCTGCGATGTCAACGCAAACATATATTATTATAATGCATAGTATTCTCATGGCGTATAATATATATATATATATATTTATAAGAAATATTACTCTATACGATCGTTTGTTTTCATTGTATATTATACTATTATTTCTACTGGTTCGAAAAAAAAACCCGAAGAGAATGAGGAGAGATCAAAAACGCGATACGCGCGTACCTATATAATATTATTATGTACAACTATCGTTTAATTCGTATTTTATTGAAATAAAAAAAAACCGTCTCGAACGGTGCAGCGATTTGCATACGATATTAATGTGTTTTTCAATTGCGAAATTATAGAATCTCCGCATCCTTAAAAATATATCCAAGTCAGAGAGTTTTCGTATAGGCAGGCACCTATATAATATTATTATAATGTGTAATAATTGTATACCATTATTTATGACGCTAAACTGCGCGCCGTTATATACCTATACTCATCCGCGAGATTTTATATTTTATCGTCACGACGAAAATAATAATAATATTGTATATTATTATTATTACTATTATAACCCGCACCGTTCGAAAAACTCGATTAAAAAAATAAATAAGACCTAGCCCGTCGCAAACTTTAATGGCGTCCTGCGCGCACCGACGACGTTAAATATAATAAACGTCGTCGTCGTCGTCGTAGTCGTATTATCATAACGTTTGTTTAAGCCAACTATTTATGTATGTTATTGATCTTCTTCCTTTTTGTATTATATTATATACCCCCCTCTCCACTCCCACCTACCTTCGCGCGACGTCTGAAATCCCATTAATTTGCATAATGAATAAAAATGAATAATAAAAATGACACGGTCCTATCTGAAAGTTTGATACGCCACCCCCCCCCCACCACCACAACCACCGATCTTTCACACGGGTCGAATTATTGTTTTGCGAAGCAGATGAAAATCTCCGGATATTAACTACCGTATTTATATTATTATATTTTCAACGGTTATGGTTCGAGTTACACACTGCGCACCTATAAAATAATGCCGGTTTCGATGGGCAGCTGCTGATAAGGCGAGGTGAATCTGCCGCAGATTATTGTTATTATCATTAAACACATATACATATATAAAATTATTACACACGAACCCGTATCATATATATATATAAATTTGTAATTTATTGGATATGAACATGATCTGCCGCAGCCGACCGACCACTCCTTCGGCCGTTCGCAGAGACTTTCGATTCACCGATCCTCTCGTCCGAATGCCATCGAGGTATTCGTGTATTGCCATCGGAGACACATAAAACCTACCTTTATTTTGTATTATTATTATTATTATTTTATTCCTATATATATATATATAAGGTTCATTAAAAATAAAATAGCGGTCTAACAATATCGTTGAAATTCTATTGCACAAGTATAATATAATATATTTTATACCTATATGTATATAAATATTTTATGCGGCTGTAGGTACCGTATGGAGATTTTGATCGTATTGACCCCTGACATATTATACTTTATTTTTTATTTTATTTTATTAGAGAGTTAACCTATGCCAACCCGGCGCGGTCAAGACGTCTACTGGTCCATTGTACATAGACAAGTCTCGTGCGCGTCGCGTATGATGTAAACATCCCATAACACTAAATATTAAATTGTCATATATATACTTCAAATATATATATGTGCGAGTGCTTATACGCGTTTAACTTTGTATGAGTATAAAAATAAAAAAAGCACCGACTCACGGACGACCAACGGGCCTAATAATGCTGATGGCTTGGAGTGCGTACCTCTTTTTTTTTTATTTTTTTTTTTATTGACGTCATTAATCTTCCGAGCCACTTATATTATGCATTTGTTACTTCCAATATAAGTATATGCAGTGTCGTATAACCCGATTGGGATCCCGGTGACGCTTTAACCCCTATATATTGTTAACAGATAACAAACGTCCATTGACAAAACATCCGTAAAACAATATAAACCTCATTTATTACCTGCCTATAACAATTTGTCGTCAAGCGCGATACTAATGTAATATAACACCTACATTATGATATAACCCTAATAAATTGTTATTTTCTGTTGATCTAGTGAACAATAATAAAACGAGATACGATAAAAATAAAGATAATCGTAGGTGTACGTTTTACGGTTTTTAGTTATTTTATATTTACTACCTACTAGTTTATCTATAATATTAAAACATTATATTATAATATTATATTAAAATACGTTACTAGGTCAATACTTTGCGCTAATAATTTTAAATCATAGACATCGGCTCGCAGAAAAATTAATGCTTTTATATGACAAATTTTGGATGACAAACCAAAATGAAACTTTTTTTTTACAGATTTTTAGTATTAAATTTGTTAAGTTTATTTTGCTACAAATGAGATGATTCGATAATCGATGTTTACAAGATTTCAGTACAACGCATACATGACACTATGGAGGTGCTGTTAGAGCGTCTAGTAAAGCGTATTTTTAAAGATATAGAGATACAGTAGAACGCCGATTATCCGAACGCAAAAAAAACCGAACAAAACTAAAAATGGTTTTTTAATAACTGGTTATCAACATCTACCTTATACACACTATACCTTCGTATACCGCGGTCTATATGCTCGTAATCGTATTTTGTCACTCCACGTAAACTCGTAGATTAGAGATATCAGCCGTTTTAGTTTGTATATTAGTATATTATTGTGTATTAATGTATTATGTATGTCTACTAGCTTAAAATCTCAACTTCATGTGCAGTTGTTTTTTTTTTTTTTTGACAATCCTATACAAAATAGCATACTCTATATGGGCGGTATCTCTCAGTTCTAGAGTACCTCAGTTTAAGGACAAATCGGCGCCAGTGCTTTGTGAAATAATTCCACCTAGATGGGATAATCGCAAGTCGTGGGTTGGGTTTAGCTCTTGATCTATTTTTTAACGTGGTTTAAACTTCTAACGCTCTTTACTTTTCCGACATCTCTAAAAACCATCTCTGAGATTTTCGTCAAATTCAATTGGGTGTGGTTTTTCGGCATATGATGCACACGCACACATTTGGTTTTAAGATATTATAGTTTCTTTATCCGAGGCCAAAAGCGCGACAATTTGATGCATGTTTGTGCCTGATCTACCCGAGTAACCAATGACAACCATTTGTAAACAAAAAAAAAATTTCAACAAAAAATCCTTTCTTATTGCACGTCTAGATCATTAAAGGAACCACTAAATTCCAATTTTCTAGTTCATACGTTTTGTAGTTTTTGAGATGTAATGTTGAACGAGTGAGTGGTATTTGGTTTGAATATATATTGTGTATGCATAATGTTTATAATGTATATAAAAATGATTAAGTACAATTATTGGTTGATTATCGGCTATATCGTCTCAGTATCGGTATTTCACCGATGTTTTGTGTATAAATAATGTACCGTAAATGTTCACTTGCGTATCCAGACCATCCTGGACATTAACAAGTCCGAATAATCGGCGTTCTACTGTACACCATGTAAAAAAACCCTCGATCATATATAGTTAGTAGTTACCCCGGACCATATGTAGGTACAACTGTACATACTGAGACAGAGTTCGCAGAGTATAATCTCCAACGATTTATGAATTTGTGTGACCACTATATAAAGAGCATAGTAGGTATATTACAATGGCATACCAATATACCACAGCTAACCACCGAACACGAGAAATTCCATTACGAGGATATTGTCAAAATTCAGCCATCTTTTCTATACCCTTTTGCGGAATTAACATTTGCGTTCAGCAGAACCAATATCTACATATAGTGTGTCGTTTAGGTTAGTATAATAGTTGTGTAGTATTAGAGTGAATAATTGACCCAACTTAAAGTTCAGAACATTATATGTGTTTTTCCGTTGGTTTTCTCTTCGATATTTCAATTTTTTTGAGCAAGATA